GAAAAAATAAAAAGAAGTTAATTTAAGGTTTGTAATAATACAAAAAAGACAGCACAGCCCCTCTGCAGGCTTCCTTAAGCTGGCCAATCAAAAGAAGGGTTTGGGAAGGGCCTTAAAGAGACAGGAGCTAAAAGAGCCGGTTTCAGACAAAGGAGGATTATTTTGAACGGTGGTTCATGCAAAGCTTCTCCAGATAAAAACACAAAGCAGGAAGTGTTAAAATGATTTGGCTGCAGGTAGAAGGTGTGACTGTGAACTGGATCATAACACAGAACCAATCAGGAAACGGCGCTTTGCTCACGGCCCGAGACCAGTGCACACGGCCGCTACAGACGGAGCCATGTTCACATCAGATTAGATTATTGATCACAAATACTACGACAGGTTTAGTGTTATTTACAGAGGTCCTCGATAACAGCGGCGGTTCAGCTGCACAGGTGTGAGGAGCTCTGACGTTGGCCTGACAGGAACACATCGTCAGCAGGTCTCGGTCCATCACAGCACATTTACTGCATGTGAGTCTGGTTCCGACTCTCGGTGAGCTTACGTTTCGTTCTGTTGCAGACTGAACGCCGTCGACGACCTGCTGAAGCTCGCCAAGCAGTTTGACTTCAACATGTTTCGTCAGGATGAGGAGGAGGCGGAGGACGTGCACCAGCAGAGCCTGGAGCTCCTGTCCGAGGACATCCTGGATTTCGAGAACGGCGTTGAGATTGAAGTTTCTCCCTCACTCCCTGGAAGCCGTCTGCCTGCTGCGAGCGTTGTGGCGGGGACGGGCGTGCAGCTTCTTCCAGATCAACACATGGACGACGATCTGGATTTCCTCTTCGATGGGCCGACTCAGTACGTGAGCGGGAACCTGAGCCAGGCCTCAGCTCAGTCACAGGTCAAACCTCCCAGAGAGGCTTCTGGGAAACCGTCCGTCTCGTCACGTGGCCCCACTTCAGCCGTTTCCACGCCGCACGGCAGCGGCACGTCAGCCCGCAACAGCTTCCAGGATGGCTGGGGAGACGACGACCTGCTAAATGACTCTTTGGTGTTAGAGATGACGCAAAATCCTCTGAAGTTCGCTTCTCCGAAGCTTTGCTCAACCCAGAAACCTGCCGGCCAGGCGAGATATCAGAGGGAAGCTGATACCGCCGTCGGGCTCGGCCAATCTGCCGCACCCAAAGTGGAAAAGGAAAACGTCAGGCCGAGAGCGACGTTCCTCCTGGAGCCTAATCCTGCTTTCTCTGTAGACAGGATCCAGAACGCACGCCGGCAGGTGGGCTACAGCTCGAATCCCGCCGGTAGAGACGCTGTGCAGGGCGGGGCTTCGTTTCGGCATGCCCGGCAGACCTGTTGGTCCAACTCGGTGAAGCTGGATCTGCAGAAACTGCCGTCTGACCAAAAAAGGACTTCTGCCGGGATCTGCCGGGCTGCAGCATCACAGACTACAAACGCTCCAAACTTCCCACGGAAAGCTGGAGTTTCCTTCCACAGCGCGCCGCCCGCCGACGGCGACTTCCTGGATGACGACCTGGACGCCTTCTTCCTGTCAGAGCCGGTCTGGGACGACCTGGCGGACGATGAGCTGCTGTGTGAAATGTGTGAGGACCTGGAGAGCCAGATCCAGGGCGTGGCTGAAAAACGGGCTCCTCTGATTGGTCAGATTCCCAACCAGAGCGCAGCTCTGCGGCCGACTGGCAGAACCGGACGGGACGACAGGATCCTGCAGCCGGAAGCTCCTCCCCCCATAGGTACGGGCAAAGCAGCCGGCGGCTCATTGGCCGGTGGTTCTGCCTCCAGCGTCGCCGTAAAGGTGAACGAGAGCAGGCGGGTGCAGTGGACCGCCACGCTGCAGAGAGCGCCGCAGCAACACGCCATCAAAGACCAATTCGCCTTCAAGAGGCCGACCGACCCGGTGTCCACGGCGACCGACGACGGTAAGAGTACTATCGGTCGTGGTGAAGTGAGCTGCGTGTTTGTACGTGTGAAGCGGTTCCGTGGCTTCGGTGCTGTTTGCGTGACTCTGACCGATTTCTCGCTTTCTGCAGTTCGGGGGAAATGTTCGCCCGCGGAGATCGAGCGGAAGAAGCAGCAGGCGATGGAGAGGAGACGGCAGCGACTGCAGGCTGCTCAGAGCCTCCGAGATGTGACGTGACCGACCCGCGGGGATGAAAGCTGGCGGACACGTGGGCAGCAGCTGCTGCTCTGATTGGTCCGCCGAGGGTGACTGATGGTCTCTGTGTTGGTGTGTAGCTGACGTCACTGCGTGTGTTTCTAATTGTTTCTGTATTTTTGGTTCACAGTAAAATATCTGACGAACTTTGGCGTCCGATGTAAAACTAAAGGTTTCAAAAGGATGTAGCTTATCTGCACGCCAGAGCGTGAGGCTCGCGCTGCATCACAGCGCCGCCGGGCTTCTCGCGCTCGCCGTGTTTTTACCTGCGCAGGAAAACATCGTGTGGACTATCGTTATCACAGACCCGGAGAGGACTGAAACCATCCGGCTCATTTCTACCTGCTGAACTCTAAGTCGGACTCACACCTGAGCAGGTGATGCTCAGGTGGAGGCCCGAGGCTCAGCTTCCTCCTCCACCTCTGAATGCTAACAGACGGATGAACAGCCAGCAGCTATGAAACAGCAGGAAGTGACACGCGAGGGGAAGTAATCCCCACAGACTGTCTGGGGAAGCCGACCGGAGAGTCTTCAAACGCCGGGAGTTTAGTTCCCTCGACTTCAGCTTTTAACATTTGTTCACATTTTATTGAAACATTTTCCTTCGCAGACGGACCGACGTGTGCGCTGCAGGTTTGAGATTAAACTGGGGTCCATTTTTAACGTTCCTGTTTCTGTGTGAGCTCTGCTCTGTTCAGATCTGAATCTGTTCAAGTGCAAAACAATAAAAATAACAAAATAAACTGAAATGAGTAAAGCTGCTGTTCTTTTAAAGGTGAAACTCATCACTGTGATAAATGTTTCAGAATAATATCAATGAACTGAATCTGAAGCACTGATCGATTAATCGATGATAATTATGAAGTAATTAAACGCTTCATGGGGAGTTTGTAGAACTTTTATGGACCCTGGTGGAAACTTCCTCCTGTGTGACGTGAAGCGGGACGAAGCTCCTCCGGGCTTCCTGTTTGTGAGCATTAAATTTCCTTTTCCGACAGCTGGGAGCGCAGCCCGCCTCCCCCAGCATCCACCTCTGTCGCTGCAGCCCTTCGCTACCTCCCCTGAGCTCTTCCTCTTCTTCAGTCTGCAGCTCCATCACACAGCGGGCCTCACCTCCATCTTTAAACCGTCCCGTTTACTCTTGCTCTTCTCCTTCTGTCACACTTGTCTCCACCTGCTCCACCCTCTCTCATTAGCGTACTCTGTCTCTCCAGGCTCTCCTCCACCTCCCCTGTGTGGGGTTTCTGTGTTGTTGTGGGCTCTTTACAATAAGGCGCACCGTCAGGTGACTGCTGTGAATCAAAGTGAACTGAAAGCCTGCTGATGGTGATTTCAGGGCCAGGTGATGTTTGGTGATGTTGGAGGTGGTGGTGAGCCCGCTGATGTCGTCCTACCTGCTGGTAGTACGGGTCGGCACCTGCACAGGTAGTCCAGCTCCTCCAGAGTGGAGCGTCACAGGAGGGTCTGCGAGGGTGGAGGAGAGGAGCAGCAGGGCCGGTCTCTGCAGGAGGAGGATAGTCGAGTGCTCCCATGATACTTTTGAGCCTCTGCAGACATCAGTAATAAGTTTTGCAAGAAGCGAGATAAGGATGGGGACGTTTGTCTCACAACAAGAAGCCGTCTCGTCCTGATTTCTTCTCCGTGAAGCACTCGATCGTACTGGTTTCACAGGGAGTACCAGTAGGATTACAGGCGATGTCATCCGCAGGTCAGCTGTCCCAGGCGGTCGGCTCGGGCTCGTCGGGTCTCTTCATTACCGGCGTGGCAGCTGTCTGATGGAGCTGATACCGTGCAGCAGGTAAGCTGAGCCTCGTTATCAGCAGACAGGTGTGTAACTGTAGTCGTGCGAATTGCCGGCTCACAGACCTGTGATCTGGCTCGCTGCAGTCACGTGACCTTTGCTCTCACTACTCTCTGTAAGGGGAGCTGACCGCAGGCTGTGCTGGACGCGTGCAAAGTTTAATTATAAAGTCTTTCCATATGAAAGGTGTCCGTCTGTGGTCGTCTTCAGCCTGCTCGTTGGACAGAGCTGGTTTTATCTGCTAATGGCTGCACACAGGGCTCAGTCTGATGATCCCTACCAGGAAGAGCTCTCCTTTAAAGACTTCGGGGCAGACGTAGTAACGCTGGGCGCAAACTGCAGAGATATCTGGTCTGGGATACCCCACTCCCACCAGGAGGAGCTGGAAAAGCTGTCGTTTCACGCTTTGGTGTTTCCCAAAGTTTAGTGTGGCTGCAGAGCTGCCACGTGACGCTCCGGACTCCTACACCGACGTACCGCTGCAGCCGACGCAGGCCTGCGGGTGAAATGAAGTTACCTGAGAATGACTCTGAACTCTGGATGACCCCCTCCTCAACATTAATTATTCCCATTGAGTCAGAGAGGATGGAGACAGGTGAGAGGAGCTGATAAAGAGCGGGGCAGGTTTCACTTTAAAGACGCTTCCTTGTGTCAAATAAGTACTGAGTCATTAAAACCGTCGAACAGCAGCGAAGTCTCCGAGATCGAGTGGATGCAGTCAGCTGATTCTGGGCTCTTTGAAACAGAACTGATTTAGATCTTTGAACTCGCTTTTATTCACACGCTGCTTTACAATAAAAACGAGAGAAAACACCATCTAACAATAAATCTATCAGAGCTTTATTTCAGAGTAGCATAACCACGCTACCATATGTCATTTTCTTCTGGAACCGGCTGTCTGATGGTCTTATGTGGAGCGAAGTTTGTAATTACCAACAAAATTAAAGATGTTGCTTATAAATTCATACACAGAATTTACCCATCTAAAGATGATCTTCAAAGCAAATTTAAATTAGACATTGATACAAACTGTAGCTTTTGTAAAACTTGCAACGAATCTACTAGAATAGAATAGAATAGAATAGAATAGAATAGAGTAGAATAGAATAGAATAATCCTTTAATTGTCCCACAAGGGGAAATTTGGTTGTAACAGCAGCCAGAAAGACACATATACAAACAAACAGGACACAGAACAGAAACATACATGATTTTTCTTACATATTTACATCAAGGACAGTGGTTACTATACTGTACAGTTATTAAATTAAATAAAAATAACTACAGATAAGAGGCAAACTCAGGTTGTACTGCGAATCAGTTGATTAAATTATTGCAGTTACAGCGCAGATGTAAACACCTGTTTGTTGGGAGCAGTTCTGATTGTGCAGTGTGACAGCTGCAGGGAGGAAGGACCTGCAGAAACGCTCCTTCATGCATCGAGGATGCAGCAGTCTGTCACTGAAGCAGCTCTGCAGCAACATCTACATGCATGGGCTGGGAGACTCTGTCCATCAGAGATGTTATTTTGGCCAGAGTCCTTCTGTCTCCCACCACCTGCACTGGGTCCAGGGTGCATCCCAGAACAGAGCTGGCCTTCCTGATGAGTTTATGCAGCCTCTTCCTCTCAGCTGCTGATAAACTGCTGCTCCAACATACAACACTGTAAAAAATAACGTATGCCACCAGAGTCATAGAAGGTCTTTAAAAGCGCTCCCTGGACTCCAAATGACCTCAGCCGCCTCAGCAGGTAGAGTCTGCTCTGACCCTTCCTGTAAAGAGCATCAGTGTTGTGGCTCCAGTCCAGTTTATTATTCAGGTGAACACCCAGGTACCTATAAGAGTCCACTATCTCAATGTCCACTCCCTGGATGTTCACCGGTGTCAGTGTGGTGGGTCTGCGTCTCCGGAAGTCCACCACCAACTCCTTGGTTTTCCCGGCGTTGATCAGCAGGTGGTTCTGCTGACACCAGTCCACAAAGTCCAGAGTCCACTGTCTGTACTCTGAGTCGTCCTCACCTGTGATGAGGCGACTATGGCAGAGTCGTCAGAGAACTTCTGTAGGTGGCAGCGTGGGGAGTTGATGGAGAAGTCTGCAGTGTAGAGGGTGAAGAGGAACGGTGCCAGCACAGTTCCGTGGGGCCCCCGTACTGCAGACCAGCGTGTCAGACGACAGCCCTGTGTCCTCACATACTGTGGGCGTCCTGTGAGGTAGTCCAGTATCCACTGGGACATGTGGTGGTCCACTCCTGATAGCTCCAGCTTGTCCCTCAGAAGTCGTGGCTGGATGGTGTTGAAAGCACTGGAGAAATCAAAGAACATGATCCTCACAGAGCTTCCAGGCTTCTCCAGGTGAGTCAGAGCTCGGTGCAGGAGGTCGATGATGGCGTCCTCCACCCCGATGCCAGGCTGATGTCAGGGCTACTGGCCTGTAGCTGCTGAGGTCCTTGGGATGGGAGGTCTTTGGTACCGGTACCACACAGGAGGTCTTCCACAGCTGTGGTACTTTCCCCAGTGACAGGCTCAGGTTGAACAGATATCCTAGGATGCCACACAGTTCATCTGCGCAGCATCTCAGGAGCCTGGAGCTGACGCCATCTGGACCATCTGGCATCTACTACACATCTGTTTTGGTTTTGTAACCTGGTGCAAGACTTTTGGCAGAGTTTGTGTTTTTATCTCAGAAAATGTATTTAAAGGATTTGTACTGTTTTGGAAATATGTATCATTTGGTCTCCACATAAACCAAAGACAATGCAACACTGATAACAGATATGTGATTAACTTGTTAATCTTAATGGCTAAATTTCATATTCACAAATCCAAATGTTTAGGAAGACCTCCCACTTTTTATGTATTCTTCTACGAGCTCGTGCAATATCTTAATTCAATTAAGAACTCTACTAACCCAAAAGCTATAAAAACTATGGTTGAATGTGAAAAAATGAAGATCCTTCAATCACTTTATTCTTTGCTTAACCAATTAAACTTCTCCCCTAGCATATGTATATTGTAGGTTCTGAATATTGCTTATTCATTTGTTTGTTTATGTTTGTTTATATACATTTTTTGTAAGGACAGCACCTCTAATGTAGTACTGTTTAATTCTACTTTGTATTGTACTGATGTTTAAATAAAGGGTTGAAGAAAGAAAAAAACTTCAAATTTGGGGAAATCGACGGCGCATTTGGAGGACAGCCGTCGTCGCGTCGCTGTGACGTAATCGGTCTCAAACCGCGTACTCGTGCGGTCGCTGGATTGGGACGCAGCCGCAGACAGGAGGCGCTGCTCTGACTCGTACATGGGGCTGTGCTGCCCCCACGAGGACAGACGGTGCTCTCACAGTTCAGGACAGAGAGTCTGTATCATGTTCGCACTGAAGAGTGAAAGCTGTTCAAGTCTTTATGCTCGTTGATAATAAACGGCTTCAGGAAATGTTGTTTTCAGAGGGTTTTGTCTTCCTTCAGTGTGTCCGTCCATCTTCTGAGTGGAAGTTTTAACAGCGCTCTAAAAAACAACCTCACTGCTGGTCAGTTTTTATTGTAATGCTGTTTAAACCCAGCAGTGGAGTTTCAACAGCTCACAACATGTTTGAATGTTTGTGCCAAACTCGGGGCTTCTTCGCCTCCATCCTCAGTGTTAGAATAAAAACCCGGTGTCAGGCCCGCCGTCGTTAAAATGGGATCAGATGCAGAGATCCATCCTGGGTTGATCCTTACTTAAGACTTTTCGAGGAGCACCTTTGAAAAACGCCACACAGCCTGATGAAAAGTGAAGAGCAGCTTATCTAAAAGTGTCGACGACCCTGACGTTCACGCTGCAGCGCGAAATATTTAACAATCAGAAAATCCAGATGTTGCAGGTGGAGGACTCTCCAGTCGCGTGTCAAACGCAGCCGAGGTGTGAGCACGTTTCACACTGGCCTTATAAGCCACAGTCTTCC